GCTTTTTTCGTATTTCTTATATTCCCTATTGTTTGATGTATCCTCTTTACACGAATGGCATTTAATTTTTCTTTTAAATTTGATCGCTAACAAGGACTGCCTAAGAATCAGATTCTAGCTGCTTGGGCAAAGCGTAGACCTGCTTATTTCTTATTTGGTTCCCACATGTCGGTATTCATTTCAAAGGCGTAATACAAGGCGGCGTGACATATTCTGCGTTGGACTGGAAAACTGATTTGTCCACCCTCCCCTCCCCAACTAGGATTCGAACCATTAACTCCTAAGTGCCACCTCAATTTCATTATCGACTGTACCCTATTAATGGGTGAAGGGCATTGACTTAAGTCTTATAAAGGGAGAGTGTATTGGCTCTCATGTTAAGAGCAACGCGGAAGCAGCACACAATGGGTTAATACAAGTTCTAGTTTTAGGAAGGGTTTTACGGCACTTGCAACCCAGGCAGGTCATACAAGTGTCGAAGATTTGAGGTGTTACTAGATATTAACGTACAAACGAAAAGAAGGCGGAGAGCTAAAGACGAATACGTTTATTGGGAATGCATTCAAAATAGTATTTTAAACTTTGAGGGTTAATACGATTTCCTCAATACTGTACTTGAAACCAAATCACTGCAGCACCACCTAGCTCATTTCACCCTTCGTGGTTTTCAATAAGTTTTAATTCAATTTCACCCTAGAGATTTTTTTTGAAAGGTGGAAATGGACGACACGAAATCTTTGAGAGGTATTTGGTGGAAAAAAACTGAAAAATCGGGAAATCCAATAATTAGATTCTAATAATAGTTCACATGAGTTTGCTTTGAGTATATACTTGGTATGATAGACAAGTCTCACGCCTCTACGTCATGGTGCTTTTACTTTGATGGTCTAGCGGCTTCTCCCCTTGATCAGAAGTATCAACAGCTGTCACAGCTTTCTAAATGTACATCAGCCATCACATTATTATGAAAATAGCGGCCTACATGTGTTTTATGATTGCCGCGATGGATACTGTATAGATCACTTATCTTCTTTCGTATAGGAAAAGAGGCCGGTATAAATGATTTAGAGTATTATATATTGTTAGAATTTAAATTGGTAGTGGGACAAATTTGGGGATTGTTATTTGACGACCCATGGCAGAGAACGACATTTCTTCCCTTGAGAAATACATGTAGTGTAAAGTTGGAATTTGGATGAGCGTAGATAAAGACTAAAAGAAGTGGCGGGGTTGGATTTGGATCCGGAAAAGGACAAGTTATGGTAATGAGGATGGGGACTGGGATGGGGGTAGGAATCAGGGTGGATGGACGGATGGGTAGGTCGGTGGGGAAAAGGGCGG